AACATATGGGGGAATATGAAAAAGAAGGTATTAAAGTCTGAAAACAAGCAGGTTGGTAAGCTCATTAGCTGGGGTGGAATTTTAAAATCTTCACGTGAACGAATATATAAATCAAAATATACACATGCATTCACAGTCATGCGCATTGTGTATTCACACATGGCACGCTCTACAGTTTCATTATAATCTTCCATCCTGGATCAGTGAAATTCCTTTCGCTTTATAAGTGTAAAAGCGCCCTCTGCTGGCCAGTCTGTGGTGTGTGCGTTTTCCAGTTTCACAACAGGGAGATCTAACATAAGAATATTGAAAGAAGGTTGGGGGATTTTCTGCTCCACTTTTCATAAAAGTAAGTTTATTCCAAAATAAAATAAAGTCTACTCAGTTTTAAAGTTCATTGCATTTATTTTTATTTTGTTATAGAGCATTAATTCCCAACATAGTATATTATAAATAGGTCAATGTAAAATAACTACTCATTTGTTTTGACAAAGCAAGAGTAGCAGACAATTAAAAAATGATTGTACAACCAATTTTACTGTAAGCTCATAGAATTAAAATAACCCAGATAATTATTTATTTGCTATAATTAAAATATTTTAATGGAAGAAAATGGGTTTTATGTCCCTCTAATGTTTTCTAGGGAAGTGTGGGTTTAGAGAAACACCAAAGTTTTGCAGTATCTTCTTGTTAGTAGACGACCAGTGACTTCAGAATGCAGAACTATAACGTCCAGTATTGAATCCTATTAATAGTCTGAGAACTGTGCAAATGTTGTTTAGAAATTGTTGTGTTAATTTGGCAAAGGGTGAATTTAAACCAAAACAAAACAAAACTTTTTGGTATATATTAATTATTAACCACTTTTTAAAATGGGAAACAGTCGATTGTCAAAAATAGGGAAAGGAGGAAGGAAGAAGAAATTCTGGCCCCCAGGTGTGGAAACATGAAGAAACTACTCTCCAGAATTATCCGTTAGAGAATTATAATATATCACCCCTAGGGTGAAAGAAAGGTATGTCTAAAATTAGTTTCAGGGTAGGCCACAGACACTAACGGTAGTGTGCCTTATCCATAAAGTGTATTAAGGAAGAAAAGGTGCTAAAAAACAATATGTAAAGAATCTTTGCATTAAAGCTATAAATAACTAACATTTGTATGCACAGAGACTACTATGCACTGGAAAAATATTTTAGAAACTGGTTCAGAAATAATAATTAGAAAAGTCCTAATTTAAAATTAGAAATAATTTGAGTCACATTTTCCCCTTCTACACATAATACATTCATATTTACAGAATGTGTACAGCTTAAATAGCAAGTTTCTTTCAATGCTACTTTGGCAACTATTTGAAATCTTAATCTAATGTAACAGAATTCAAAATAAAGATCATACATTATCAATATCAAGAAAATACACAAGACAAAATTATGTTAATGCCTATTAGAGATTTGGAATACTTTAACATTTATTTTGATTGTTAATTCTGTCAGAGAATGTCTATATAGGCAAAATCCTTCGGTAAAAAAAGTCGCAACAAAAACTTCAATCAGAAGAGCTTCAATAACTTCTCTAGGCCAATGGTATTTTACAAATTATTTACATCAATAATTCCTAGCTCTAAGAACAAGAAGAAAATGAACAGACATCTATTAGCAGCAGTGTCTAAAGCGAATCCCTAAAGCATTTTTATAAATAAGTTACTCTTTGTTACTGCTCTGGGAAGGGCCAGAATGCATTGGACTAACCTGCTCACAAATCCACATGAGAAGTCCAAACATCATAAGGATCCTACAGACTAGAAGACCATTGAAAGTGTTTGTGAACTGGATGGGTCCTCAGAATACTGTATAGCTTATTATACTCTTACGTTTTCTCAGTATATACTTTAATACTCCGTACTTTTCTTTCACAGCACTGAAACTGTGAGTGAACTATATAGTCACTACCATTTGGCTGATACCTCATCAGTGGTCAGCCCCATGCAGGCTGAAGCCATTTCTGTTAGTTCCTCACCATACTCACAGGACTGAACAAGGTGCCTGCCACAAGACAGAAGTCTGATAAATATTTGTTAAATGAAAGAAGTGAAAGGAAGGGAAGAAGGGAGGAAGGAGAAAGAGAAAGGGAGGGAAAGCTGAAGAAATGGAGGCAGGAAAGGAGGGAACCCAAGAGGAAAAAAAAACAAAAACAAAAATTTTTCTGTCCCCTAGGGCCATTACTACAATCCAGATTTTTTTCACAAGATTCATCTTTAAGTTTTATATTAAAGAACAAAAAAAGAAAAAAAATTAAAAACTTTTTTTTTTTCCTTTTTGTCTTTTTTCGTGTCCGGCAACGGACCGCAACCCTCAGTGTTGCGCCCCTACCGGACCGGGACCGGCAACGGGATCGCAACCCTCGGTGCTGCGCCCGCCCCTCGCTCAGCCAGTGAGCGGGAACCGGTCTGTATGTGGGATCCGAACCCTCAGCGGGAGCGCCGCCGCGCTCCCAAGCGGCGCACTGTAGCAGTGCGCCACCGGGCCAGCCCTAAAAACTTTTTGCCTTTAATTTTGTTCTCTTTGAAACTCGGAGTAGATAAACTATAAGCTGTTGAGATACATTAGTCTGGTAACTTTTGATGGAAAAACCCTCATGTAAAAATGCAGGATCATTTCCCTGCCTCAGTTCTGTCTTTAATTCTCTCTAGTGTGGATTTAGAAAATATCCAGTAACCCAGAGACATGTCAGGTAGCCTACCAAGAAAGGTTATTAAAACATGAAAACCTCATATTTGGATAGTAGATTCTGGCATTCCTATAGAATCATGATTTCTGAAGGAAAAAGCAGCTGCTCAAATGAAAAAAAAAAATTCCTCTAGAATTCAGGCTTAAAAGCTTTGGTATGTTATACATTAAAAGCTCACTATTTAAAGTGTGATACCAGACCAGTAGTAGCAGTGTCACCTAAGAATTTATGAAAAAGGTGGAATTTCAGACCCCACTTAGGATCTATTGAATCAGAATCTGCATTTCAATAAAACTCCCTTTCCAGGTGGTTCTTTTGAACGTTAAAGCCTCAGAAGCATTATACTAAAAAAACCCCAAACACCTTAAGCAGGATAGAAAGCAAGCAAACTGTAAAAAATATTGGTACTATTTATGGCAAAGGATTGATATCCTATATATTCAGATAGTCCACGTAAACCAGCAAGATGAATATAATACCCTCATGTAAAAATGAATAGGTAATTAACAACACAAAGAGAATAAACTTGCAGAACTGTTTTTCAGTAGAAATCAGAAAATTCAAATTCAAATAACAAAATACCATTTTTAATAGCAGTCAATTGACAAAGATTGAAAATATTACTCACTCTTGTAGAAGAGAATTCAGGGAAATAGAGTTACTGTTAGAGAAACTGTAAATTAGTACAAGTTCCCACAGTGAAACTTGACATTAAGTATGAGATGTGTTAAATTTGTATAAATCATTTGACCCAGAAATTCCAATTGTGTAATATGTTTTTAAGAATTTAGCCGTGATATAAGCACAAAGAGAGCTATGCAGGTATTTTTCATGATGTAGTAATTTGGAAACATTCTAAATGTTCAATGACTGGTGAATTAATAATACTGCATCCAAATGGTAGGATTATTATTCAATAATTAAAAACCATGCAGTAGAGAAATATCTAATAAACACAGGAGAAATGCCATTATATTCACACACATGTCAAAAGACTGGAGGGACAGATACCTAAATGCTAAGTGTAATATCTATACTGTGGGAATATGGATGACTTTGTTGTGTGTTTCTATGTATTCCAAACTTCCTGCAATGCAGATATATTACTTTTCTAAGTAAGAAATAGTAAACTTTGCAGTGGTACGGTGGGGTCAGTTTATACTGGCTCACAAAAGCCAATTGTTAAATTTTCAGGTATTTTGTGAGCCAGTTGTTAAGTACAGCCATTAAAAAAAATTAAATTATATAAACTTACAATTAAATAAACTATAGTAAAACAAAGGTAACAAATACTTAAGATTCATCACTTCCTAATCATTTCACTAGATTTTGCTATAATCTTTGATCTTGAGGCTGTTTATGTCATTTCATCCGTATGGTGGAAATGTTATACAATGGCGTACTACTGCACATCTCTTCCCAACTTTGTATCCTGTGACCTTATGCTAGAGGCTTGAAATAAGCTTTAGAGAGAATATTAACACTATGAAGATTGGCAAATGCTACAAATCAGGGCTTTCTTCTTTTCGCCAGAGAGCTGCCTGTTACATTTACCTGCACACTACAGACAGACGTTAAGCAAGTATTTCTTGTGAAAACAGACATGGCCCTTTGGGGGTGAAGGGGAGAGAAGGATTCTCTTACCATGAGCAAATTAGGGAAGGGAAAATAATTAAATCAGTTAGATTTTTTTTTCCAGGGTGGTTTCAGTGTATGAAAAAGATGGACATGGTGGTATTTAGTCTTCAAACCAATTAGTGACCATATTCAAGCCAGACCTTGGTTTAGCATCTGTTCATCTTGCTGTAATTTTTACAGCCTTGGTTTGGTCTCTCTAAACCGACTGAACCTCTCTGAGACATCCCAGGTTTAAAACAGGGGAAAAGGTAATGGCCCTATTTCATTTTCAGGGTTTTGAATGAGTCAAACTGATTAATGTATTTGACAGTACTTTGAAAACCATGAAATCCAGGGCATGCTTATGATATTTACCACGTTAGAATAACCATGGATTTCTTATAAAGCAAAATTGGAAGTAAATGTGTTCATATTTATAACACATTAATACTGTATTAGTTTAAAAAAACATTTTAGCCAGAAAAATTATTTTAATTTAATCTCCTCAAAAAATATTATTTTAGTAAAAATGCTCACAAACCCCAATGACCAAATTTTCTCCCTCTGTTTAATAGATCCTGATGTCATCAGCACACCAACTGATTTTTCTGGAAGTAGTAATTAGTGAATGTGAAGTATGTACGTGTTTCAAGTACCTGAAACTATAGAAGAATCTGCAAGAGATGATTCTAATGAATTGTTCTCGATGCCCCCATTCTCTGTCCCTGGACATGGCTGATCTGTTGCCGGAAGATGTGGCTCTTCACTTTCAGCACCATCTTCCTGTGATAAATTCTCATTCCCTGTGAATGAAAGTATTAAAATGTCAATTATAGTGTAATACAAGTTTTTGTACAGTACACATAACTGTTACTGCCAGTTTGAAAATGAAATGGAGGCTCCTAATAGAGGCTACTGAATATGCCTAAATATTTTGTAATTCTGAACAGAATGTAAATAGTACTTCAGTGTAAGTTTTTACACAATATAAATAGCTGTTATTGTAATTTTGAAAACAAAATGGGGGTCCCTAATGAAGATTTGCTTTAATATATTTCAGTACTTTGACATTTTGAGAGACTTAGAATGTATTTTTTGTTATGGCACAGTACTTTCATTTTTAATATGGACACAGTGAGTAATTCTTTGTAATGATTACATTTTACCTAAAAAGACAATATAATAAGTATTATGCCAAGCAAAGAATAATGAGATGACTTCCTGTTGGACCATCACCTTTAGTAAGTCAGTCACTTATTCAGTGATACAAAGTTACATTTAAGCCTGAATTAATGAAAATGCAAATATGGTAGTTTTCTTTAGCTTGTGCTCTTGCCATTTTGTTCCTTCACTGTGTGTTCTGCACGAGATGTACATCTGCTTTAATGTCAGCCTAAATTCATGTACTCTAAATTTCTGGGGATTTTTTTTTAATTCAATGAAATATTCTGTCTCTTTCCTTTCTCCTTTCCTCCTTTCCTCCCTTCCAGATTTTCTTTGTCCAACTAACAAGTATTGAGTATTTTATTAAGGCCTACATGGATTACAAAGAAACACAAGAGTGTTTGTCCTTCTGAAGCTACAATCTGTCAGAGAAGACTGATGCCATAAAGAAAATTTTCTGAAGTATCATTTCAAATTAGCCCACCCTATAAAATATGGGAAAAATGTGTCCAACTTTGCATGGAGAATTTCCTGAAGAAAACTGTAACTTTGGACAAGAAGCCAACTTGACAACGTTTGTGGTTAGATATTAAGTATGCTTGGAATTTATAATTATAATAAGTAACTTATTTTATGCTTACTATATAAGCACTTTACATATATTAAATCATTTAATCCTCAAAATAAGTATTGTTATTATCCCCATTTTACTGAGGAGTAAACTGAGGCACAGAGAAAGCAAGTACCTGGCCAAAGTCTTATATCCAGGGTAGGAGCCAGGATTTAGTAAGCATCAGGATCCAGAGCCTTGGTTCCTAAATTATTCTGCTTGTGCTGCCATTACCAAATACCATAGACTGGGTGGCTTAAACAACAGAAATTTCTTTTCTCATAGTTCTGGATGCTGGAAGTCCAAGATCAAGGTGCCAGTAGGGTCAGTGTCTGGTGAGGGCTCTCTCCTTAAGCTGCAAATGTCCAGCTTCTCAATGTGTCCTCACGTGACATCTCTCTCTTCCTCTTCTTATAAGGCTGCGATCCTATCAGATTGGGGCCCCACCGTTATGACCTCATTTAATCTTAATCACCTCTTAAGACCCTGTCTCCAGATATAGTCACATGGAGGGTTAGGACTTCAACCTGTGAATTTTGAGGGGACACAATTCAGTCCACAGCAGCTTCTAAACATAAGAGCAGTTACAGCTAACCTTGTGCTGGTCATCCAAGCACATTAGAAAAATACTCAGATTGCTATAAGTAAGATGTGCAGTTCAGCAATCAATATTTAAATCCCTGACTCTCCTTATGGAGTTTTCTGAGAAAATTATAAGTAAGCCCCACTTATTTTTTTAATGAGTTGGTTATGGACAAGCCTGAATGCAGGTAGGGCGATGGGAGAGTATAAGAATACTGAGCCCTAGACAGGGATTGACATTTTCCATCTGACTTTTAAAGGAAGCCTAGAGACCCATTTCTACTCTGCCCACTGCCCTCATAAGAGACCACATATCTGAGTCAACATCCACCACCATCCACTTTGGTCGAAAGGGGGAGAAGCCCCGACTGTGAAAGGACCCTGCCATGCAAACAGAGAGAGAGAAAATGGTGATGGTTAATAGGTGCCACTTGGTTTTTCTTTTTCTTTTCTTTTTTTTCTCCCAGAGGCCTTTCCTCCTTTTATAAAGTGCTTAGCCTTGGCCAGTCAGTATATGTGGTTGACCTGGGAGAATTTGGATAAACTAATCCCAAAGCCATTCTTAACCAGATACACAAAGATCTAATCATAGCACAAAGTTATGGCATATAATAAGGAAAGTAAAAAGGAAGACATGTGAATATTAGACTTATATGATGAGATGTGTTATAATACAGGTTGCACATGGAATTTACTAACTACACTCTACTTAGATTGCTAATGTTAAAAAAATTATACTTTAGAAAATTACATTAAACTTCTTTTTTTTTTTTGTCTTTTGTCTTTTTCTGTGTCCGGCAACGGATCGCAACCCTCAGTGTTGCCCCCGTACCGGCCCCCGTACCGGGCCGGGGACCGGCAACGGGACTGCAACCCTCGGCGTTGCTCCCGCGCCTTGCTCAGCCAGTGAGCGGGAACCGGTCTGCATGTGGGATCCGAACCCTCGGGCGGGAGCGCCGCTGTGCTTCCCAAGCGGCGCACTATCCAGTGCGCCACCGGGCCGGCCCTACATTAAACTTCTAACAAGGCACCTAGAAAGGTAGCACTTAAAAATAACTTAGCAAGAAATATTGCCAGGCATGCTGTCTGTGTAAGGATGATCTACAAAACACTTTGCAGCAGATCTTCTAGACTCTTTCCTAAAGAATTATGCCACTGTATACAACCATAAAATGGTTGGCACACTCTAATTTGAAGGATGAGTATATCAAGGACTTTTGTGATCTGAAAGGCTGCCCTTTCTAATATTCCTTAATACTCTGAGACTGAAATTTCTGGGCAAACAAAAAAATCTAGACCGTAGCCATTTCCCTTTGAAATTCAAATCCTAGAATGTTTGTCCTAGAATGGATGGTAATGGTCCCACGAGGTCTTGAAAGGGAACACTCATCATGAGAGGAGGTGGTCTGGACTGGGGCCCAGGCTCATCTTTGAGGTGTGTAGGAGAGATCATGTTCGTAGCTTTGGCTAGAAGTCCCTTAAGATTTAGCAAACTGGCATTAGAGTTATGTTGTGGAAACAAGGCCTGGGCAATAACATGTAAGTGCAAAATAAAATGTAATCTTTCTCTCTCTCTTTCTTTTCTTTTCTTTTTTTGGTAGCTGGCTGGTACAGGGATCCAAACCTGTGACCTTGGTGTTATAAGGCTGTGTTCTAACCAAGTGAACTAACAGGCAAGCCCCCAAAATGTAATCTTGATGTTGCAAGTAAGTAGCAATACTGAGGCTCTTCCAGAGAACTAAAGCAAAACAAAGATGCTTCTGATTGAGAAGAGCTTTTTATATTTAAATTTTGTGGCATAAACAGATATGCAATGATAGTTAGAAACCATGGAACTTGCTGGTGGACAGATTATGGAATTAATGCTTCACTTTTGAAAGCTAAATTGACTACCCTTGTTTGAGTAAGTCCCCCAAATTCTTGAATAATTTCAGAGAGAAAGGAATGCTTCAAGGCTTCTTGAGCTTTTTACTTTATGGCAATTTCTAACATATACTATATGGCTTTTGTTTTGGGTAAAGAAAAAGGACCTTGCCTGGCTATTTTAATTACACGACAGTCTTCATGGTTCATTTGCACATACTTTCATTAATGCCATTTTATAATTCTTTAGAACTTCTTTACACCTCATAGTAAAAATATTTGACTCTCTATCTCTATCTCTGTGCTTTTTTCTTACTCTGTCTCCTTTGTCTCTCTCTGTCTTTCCTTTCTGTGCTAAATACCCACAGAAGCAACGACAGTAGGAACACTGGAACTTGCTGGTGGACAGACCATGAAATTACTGCCTGACTTTAAAAAGTTGTATTGACCACTGTGGTCAATAAGCTTCCCTAAATATATATATTTATATATTTCTGTATTTCTAACTACTGGACATAAATAAACCTATTTCATAAATGATATAAAAATATAACATGTTGCTTCTCTAATAATTCAGTAATTTCAGTTCATTACTTGGATTTATTTTCTTTTCTATCACCTATGACTATCTGGTTTTATTTTGTTTACTATGTTTTTCACTCCAGTAGAAAGTACAGTGTATAAGAAGAGGGACTTTGTGTGCCTCATTTAACTCCATATTCCTAGCACCTAGAACAATGCCTGGCACATCTGGCACTCATTACATGTTCATTGAATGACTGATTGATTGACTGAGTGGATAAAAGAAGTGAAGTAAGCTTGCAATGATTATACTGATTATAATTAATTTATTAACAATTAACTTTTAATTTATCTTACATATGAAATTTCTTGAAAACATAAATACATACTATGTAAAGAAAAATAAGGTGGTAGTTTAATTTAGATTTACAAATAATATACGTGAAAGGGCTATAAAATGTTATTTTTACTACTAGTATTGAATAATTTTTAAAATTCACATTAAGTAATTTTGAGATATGTTGGCAATTACAGGCCTTTTATCAAATGCTTAATAGATTACTTAAAAATTTATGACAGTGTTCAAAAGAATATATATGAGAATTTTAATAACCACTAAAATATTTTCTTCCAGTTTATTTAAGTCTATTAAAATTTAGAAAGATCTTGATACAAGTTTCAGCAATCATTTTGTTTCCAAAATAAGACAGATAGTGGAAAAAGTGGGTGGACTAGAAGTCAATTACCAATATCATAGCCCAGCTTGTTGAGTTTCGTAGTCTTTGATAAGTTAATCTCTTCCCAAACATCAGTTTCCTCATTTGCAAAGGGGATAAAATAATCAAATCCCTTCCAATTTTAAAATTTTTATTCTAAAAATCTTGGTGTTTAGCATTGTGTTTACATGCGTCACTAAACTCCCAACCTCCAGGCAATATGTGCAAAATATTTCTTAGCAAAATTAGAAATACCTGCGTTTTTTTCTGAGTAATCAACGCCTGTTAACTCTTGGGCAAGTTTATTGTTTCCTGTTTGGTGAAGAACATTTAGAAATGTAGAAAACCAGTTTTCCTTCTGCACGATCCTTTTTAGTAGCTCTCTTACACCCGATTCATTTCCATTATTTTCTGCAGCACAAATCTGTTTTAAGAGAAAAGTGGAATTAAAGAAAATTAGACATCTTCTGAATAAATTTAAACAGGAACTATCCTTTAGTAAAATTAAGCAATTAAGCATAAGTACTAATAAAGGCTAATATTCTGTTTGAATATAAGAAAACGGAATTGCTACTCCTAACCATTCTGGATTCTATGGAAAAAAATTTCTGGGCCAAGTGACCTTTTAAATATGTACCATTTTTTTTTAAAAGCCATTGAGATATTCAACTTGGACTTAGGAAATAAATGTTATACCACAGCCATTCCGAATCAGCGGTGCAAGATAAAGTGTCTTTAATCTGTATATTGTTATGTCTATTTTCACCAATTTCTTTTTGTATAACTAGGGCTTACTTTTTCCTTTCAACCCATTTATGGAGTCTATAAATGGCAAATCAAACATTTCTTATCTGATTCCTCTTTCTTCACTATTACCAATATGAAGTAATTACTACCACAGATTTATATTCTTGCTTATTTAATATTTGCACTATTTTTTATTGCTATAATAATCTTTATCAAACTTGTGTTTATTTAATATTATGAGGAATTTATTTCTATTATCTATTCCTTTTTTGAAATATGGGACAGAATTATTTCTTTACCCTTTTAGTTTAATCATGGAGATCTTTTTTAATGTGGGATCATTTGTGTAATCTTTGTGTAATCATTATCACAGTACATCTTCCCAGGACTTAATATAGCAATAAGCATTTGGAGAAAGGACTAACACAAGCCATGTTTAGACCATTAAGAAATTAGACAGGACATCATTAGCTTTCTGTAACATCAGGAAGCCACTTCAACTCTCTGAGCCTAATTTTTATATGTGGAAAACGAAGCAACTGAAAAGAAATTTCAGTGTTCCTCCATTGTAGTTCCACATTAGAATCACCAGTGGAGCTTTAAAAAATACTAACATCTAGGATCTACCACCAAAGACTCTGATTTATTTTGTCTATGTTGGGAACCCAGAAAGTTTTCTAGAAAAAAATTTTTTTAAGCATCTCACATGTAGAGGGTTAAAAATCATGATTCTCATTTGATTTTTAGAATGGGGTTTTTAGATAATGCATGCATATGACAAAAGTCCTTGGTTAAGGGACAAAAGTCTACAGCCAGCAGGTAACAGCCCTTCTAATCAATTCTAATCAAATAAATGTTGATTCTCAGTTGATTTTTAGTATAGGGTTTTTAGGTAATGCATGTATGGGACAAAAGTCCTCAATTAAGGGACAAAAGGCCACAGTCAGTGGGCAATAGCCCATCTAATCAATTCTAGTCACTGTTTAGAGATGGGATTGTGTACTTTGATTATTTAACATACTGACTGTTGTTAAAAGATGTTGAAAGAATATTTGTAGGGAAGAATGTGGAAAATTGTTTGCTATGGGCAAGCTGTTTGTTGATGGAAACTTTAGAGACAATTATACATAGATTTAATCATAAGAATGTAACATTTGCTTAAATCATTTAAGGAGAGGTTATATTTAAGATTAGATAATGATCACAATTTGATCAACTTAACTTTGCACAAACTGTACTTTGGAACGTTAGGCTGTATTGTTAATTTAAATGATGTTACTAGTTTCTATTGTTTTAGCTATACTTAGCTGTAGATAACTTTTGTCACATTGCCCATGTCATTGTGTCCTTTTGAAATAATTGAATCAACTAATTTTTCTTGTGAAACTTCTTTGTCTTTACAATAAAAACAGAAGCTAACTTTGAATTGGGGCTGTACCCGGTTTCTCCTTCTAACAGAGGAGTTGCTGAGGTGCAGTCCCTTTGGGCTTGTCATTGCATTCATGTTGCTTTGAGTAATCCTTTTTTTGCATCTCCGTTACACAGCAAGAAGTGTAACACTCATGTGATTCTAATCAGCATCTTAGATGAGAAATACTGATTTAAATATTCTCAAAGGTCCTTCTTTAACATTTGCCAATCTTCTACATGTACCATTTGGATATTTTAGTCCAGATCAGTTCTTTCCTATAGAATTTATGTATTTTCTGGTACTATAAATATATTCCATAACTTTTTTTCCACATTTAATAGTTTTATTTAATTTTCTAGCAGACAATTCATGTACCTCCCCCACCATTTCCTTTAAGTCAGTGGGACAATTTTTCACAGTAAAACTACTTAAAGAGAAGTTTTGGTCAAGAATGGAATCAAATAGAAAAAAATCAAATCAAACCAAACCAAAACAACAACAACAAATCACTGCTGCTTTTAATAAGCCAACACTTTCACCAGTTATATTCAAATAAAACCACACAATATTGGTGCAATATGTGTTTTCAGTATTTCCCTGGGGGCTGGCTTTCCTCACCATCATGCCAATGGCAGAGCAGCAGTAAGCTACAGTTTTCCCGCTCATCACAGAGGCTCACTCAGCTTCACATTATCTGGTGGCCCTGGATAGAAGACGCTAAGGTCTTGAAATCCCAAATTGTCATGGCTCCATCGATGCCAGTAGTGCAAAATTTGAGACAATTTTGCTTGTCTGCCTCATAAATAGATGCTTGCATGACACTATCCTGGTGCAGCATCTCCAAGCTGTACTGCGGCCATCAGTTGTGGGCCTCTGGTCCGTGTTGCAGAAGCATTCCATGCAGGCATGTTATGCTGAATGCTCTGTTTTGGAATGTATAGTTTGCAGACAAAGGTCAAGGCAGAAAACTGTCATCGTAGTTAAAGAGCATTGGGCAGCAGTCATGGTTGGCAGTTACAACGCTATTCTCCGAGACAAACGTTACACTAAGGAGTGGCAGGAACTCTGTTTTCAGAGTTGAGACCTGTACACTTTTTGAGGCATCAGCAATGGACACAGTGCTGTTAAGACTGACTCAGGCCAGGCAGCTCCCAATAGTGGAGAAGCTGACCCCATGAACCCAGCCTCAAGTGCTACTGCCATCAAACTCTGATGTCAGCTGACCAAAAGGCATCTTGCTGCCCCAGGGTGTACTGGCTGGCTTTTCTCATCCTCTTCTTTAACATAGGCAGAAAACACTCTGCGTTTGAAGTCACATGATCCTTCTGCCAGCAAAACATCGTTGGGATGCCAATCGAAGCTGAGGACCATGGAGCCAATCAGCTTTTTAATGTGCTCGCTTACCCACCAGTCATTTTCAGACTTGAAGTAACAAACAGAAATGAGTGCTGATCCAGTTCCCACATCAAATTTATTCCTACAGGGGACCACTTCACAAAAGGGTGTGCAATTAATTCTCAGGATCACCAGGGTTGGCTTACAGACACCATTTTTCTGGTTCCAGACATAGGTATTCGATCTGCTCCGCAAGCGACCATGCGGTTGTTCTTGTGAGCCAGTCAATACCTGTGATGTGTCTGCTGTGCTCCTTGAGTTCATGAGCTTTCACTGGCTCCTGTTCTTCTTATAGATGTGGACTTTGTGATTATTGGGGCTAAGGACAATCTGGGTATGATCCCTGTTCCAGGCATGATAGGTAATTGACTCTAGTACAAACTGATGCAGGGACATTATTTTTAGCATTTTCAAAAGGGAGGAAGCTGGTGTGGAAACAGTCCTGATGGGCTCGGAGCAGAGAATTTGTGGACTCTGGTCAGTAGAGGAGAACAGGCTGTGGCGAGTGCAGGTGGAGAACCGAGGCCCAGAGGGAGTAGCTCTCCATAACCTTTTAATGTCAGGAATGTGTTAGGATTTTTGGAACAACGTCTGGTACAAATTGAGAGTTAGCTATTATTATGGATGACTGGGAAAAGCGTCTACCTTTATAAACATTTCACCAGCAGACACTAATTAATACAGAATGGTGTACAGTATGATATTTAGCTAAAGGATATTTCATTCTTATTGGCTAATAGTTATTAATGCTGTTCTAAGGGCTTTGTATATATTAACCAGCAGCCTGAAGTGGGTACCAATATTAACCCATTTTACAAATCAGAAATCCAAGGTACAGAGATGTTTAGTTACCTCTCTAAGGTCACAAAGCTAGGAAGTGGCAGAGGAAGAATTTGATACGAGGCAATTGGCTTTAGAGGCTGAATTCTGCCTTCCTGAATTGTAAATATAGCTAATAATTTTCTCCAATTTTAACTTCATTTTCTGGCAAGAAGTGGTTCAGATGACTATTTAAACAATAAATTTTAGGTGATTTCAGTCCATCTATACTACAGAAATTTTGAAGCAGATTCTTACTCATTTCCTACTTTTTCTCTAAATTCATTAATCTCCTAATGGAAATTCATTGTCTTCTCTGGTGTTTGTAACATCTTTATAATTACATTATAATTTAAAAAGTAATCTCTATAGATATACATAAGACCGGTTTCAGTGCCTTCTTTTAACTCAACTAACCATTCTCATTTTTATTATCCCATCCTTTAATTAGCTTTAAATATGTCTGACATAAGTAATCAGAGAGCATTTCTCTAAAAAGAATGAGACACTTTAATGAGTACTTTTGTTAAAAATCTAAGCATATTCTGTCCACTAAATTTACTTCCATTATTAATCTATTAAGTTTATTTTATTACGGAATCACATTTGTCAAGCTTTCTTGCCCTTATTGAGTCCAGGCATTTGGGGATCATGATGCCATTATTTCCTACAAGTATTTTTTTTATTTGAATGTGAAACTGCATATATTCTATGGTTTAAATATGACCCCCAAAGTTCATGTGTTGGAAATTTGATCCACAATGCAGCAGTGTTGAGAGGTCAAATATTAAGCAGTGATTAGGGATTATGCCTTTTTTTTTTTTTTTTTGTCTTTTGCCTTTTTCCGTGTCCGGCAACGGATCGCAACCCTCAGTGTTGCCCCCGCACCGGACCGGGGACCGGCAACGGGACCGCAACCCTCGGCGTTGCTCCCGCGCCTCGCTCAGCCAGTGAGCGGGAACCGGTCTGCATGTGGGATCCGAACCCTCCGGCGGGAGCGCCGCCGCGCTTCCCAAGCGGCGCACTATCCAGCGCGCCACCGGGCCGGCCCGGGATTATGCCTTTTTTGTGGAAGTGGATTAGTTATTTTTAGAGTCGGTTCCTGATAAAAGGATGAGTTTAGTTCAATTTCTTCTGTCTTTCTCCCAAACTCCCTTGCTCTTCTGCCTTTTTGCCATGTAATAATGCTGCAAGAAGGTTCTCATCAGATGCCAGAACAATGAGCCAAGTAAATGTTTTTTTATTTGTAAATTACCCAGTCTGTGGTATTCTGTTATAGCAGCAGAAAACAGACTAAGACAATATAATATTTGTGCAATTTTAGCAGCTTCATCAAGTTTATGAATTTTTAATAAATATTCCCAGTTCTGGTTCTGGAAAGTACATCAGTTCCCTTTGAAGCAATTACATAATTTTTTTTTTTTTTTTACTTAATCTGTTCTCCTAAAATATTGTAAAGATATTAGATTCAAATAGATAAATGCAATTATTATCATTCTTGAGAGATATTTAGACAAGACTGCAATGAGACATAAACTGATTTCTATCCATGACCATACTCCACTCAAAGTTTTCCGTATGAAGTCAAAAATGTCTATGGATACATTGTTAACTTAATTTAGGGAATATAAAATAAACATGAATTTGTGGATAATACAACTCAATGCTTTCATATTCTAAATTCTTTAACATGTTTTTCCTTTCCAACAGAAATCAGTGGAAAAACCAATGATATTTCCATAAAGCACTGCCCTGCCAACACAATTGTACTCTTTGATAAAAATGATTTCTCCCCCTCATAATAATCTTAGGTTGCTGTTTAAATAAAATGGTGATTTTTGAATCCAGCAAAATTTATCTATCACATAACAATTAATCAGGAAGCAAAACTCATATGTTAAAAAACAGAATTTTTAAGAACTAGTTCCCCACAAAAAGTTAATGTCTTAACCAAATGAATATTTATTGTCAAACTGACACAGCTAATTTCTTATTTATACTTTTTTTGTTGCTAACAAAATTCTTATCCTTCCTAATTTGCTTGACAATACAATGAGCTGGGGGAGACTTACTTGAATACTCAACTTCATGTTGGGAGAACTGGACTCAGTTTCTAGCTAGTCATGATATCTGATTCTCCTGTGCCAACTAAAGGTGTATGGGGTCTCCAGGACTACAGGTGTTTAATGCTTTGAACAGGCCAAAGATGAAACATGCCCTTCTCTTCAGCTATTTAGATTGCTATTAAGATAACATGTAAATGTTTATATGTTCACTTCTGTTCCAAAGTTCATGGCAGTCTAAGTCAATGGATGTGCCAAGGTGTCATTAAGCATCCTAAAGGAGAAGCAGCTCAGTACAGGGATATTCCCTGTGAGAGATCATTATATTATAATGATCTATATAATGACTCCTGGATTCGTTGTTGAGTCTCCTGTATTTAGAATAGTGCCTTGTATACAGTGAACATTGTTTATTTGTTGGAAGAATGAAAACTGATTAACACTACACCATAAGCTCCACAACAGCACTGAGAGTGTCTTAGTCCATTTTGTGTTGTTATAACAGAATACCACAGACTGGGTAATTTGTAAATAAAATAAATTTATTTCCTACAGTTCTGGAGGCTGGGAAGTCCCAAGTTGAGGAGCCCACTTCTGGTGAGGGCCTTCTTGCTGCATCATCCCATGGCAGAACACAGAAGGGCAAGAGAGCATGTGTGAGAAAAAGACAGCAAGATAGGGCCAAGTTCACTTTTATAACAAACCCATTCTCTAGGTAACAAACCCACTCCTGCAATAACAGCATTAATCCATTCTGAGAGCAGAGCCCTCATGTTTAAATCACTTCTTAAAGGCCTCACTTCTCAACACTGTTGCATTGGGGATTAAGTTTCCAACACATGATCTTTGGAGATCACATTCAAAACATAGCAGACATTGTCTTTTTTTCTCTTATTTTTTCACCACTAGCATGGTGTCTGGCACAAAAATGCCACTCAATAAATTCAAACTGAATGAATTAATAAATAAATTAAGTAAGTAAGTTCTTTGGGTACTTGCTGAACACAAAACTAAGTCCAAGATCATTTTCAGAAGGCCTGCTATATGGAAGGGAGGGGGCAGGGGTGGAGGGATGGGGGTAGGAATCCTAAACTAACAGACCATGTAGAAAATGTCTACCAGAAAACAGGAAAAGGATTAAAATTAAAGAGCATTTTTGGACATCTTGATTACTTGGTTAAATGCTATTTTAAGCTGTCATAAAGCAAATTTGGAGATCTTCTGTCTATCATCTATTCATTCCTGAATGATTGGCAAGGCAATTTAACACATCATGTGTTTTCAACTCTGATTCATACAACTTTTTGGAAATAAATTCAATCAATGAATCAGTCAAGTTATCAATCAAATAATCAATACTTATTAAACACCAACCCTATACCTAGTCCTAGCTAGGTTGTGGGAGCTTAAAGATAAAAGATATAGTTTCTCCTTCAAGTCACAGGGACTTTAAGAAGCAGATCTCAATTTTGACATGAGAGATTTGTCTATATCCCTGAAACTTTAAATTTATAAGGAAATGTAACCAGACAAATGATAATAAAAGTCAACATCACCATCATATCAAAACAGTTCTTTATTATTTATAAAGCTTTTTTATAAACACTATTTCTCATTTGATGTTGACTAAAGTACTCTGAGAAGAGAAATTATTATGATATTCATTTTCATGGGTAAATTTAGGATATGGGAACTTAAATAACTTGGTCCAAAGTAACGCATATAGTAAGAAGCAAGAATAGACCTCAAATACATGTCTTTCCTTTCTAAATTACCATGATTTCCCCATCACACTCTGCTGCAATAAGATAAACTTTCATCAATAACCCCCACATCAATATGGATTCTTCTAGATGTAAAGCTTTCTTTCCATCATCTGACATAGCTTGTTTTTGGAAATAATACAAGTACATGCAAAAAAATAATGCATATAAAAATTATTCCAGACTCTCAAGAGACAATATTGCTCTTTAGAGAGCCTCAAATATATAGTTCCTCAGTCTTTCAGGACCACCTTTGAAATGTGCATCTGAATCTGAGGAAGAGTTTAGGTTGCTTTGGCCTTAATTGCTATAGTATGTGAAAGTCCCCTTTACTCTATCTCTTCTTTGTGTCAAATCCCTTGCAGTACTGCTAGCTGCCTCCAAGCTTGCCAGAATCAAGAACTTGGAAAAAATCTAGCTGGCAGAAATTCAATCCAGGCAAGACAAAAGTGATGCTGATAGGCAGAAGTATTTAGAGTAAATAAGGAGAAGTGCTGTTTCGCTGGCAATCGGGGACATCGTACCCACCAAACATAAACAGCTTTGTGGTGTTACTGGACTCTGTTGCTTCTGGACTTCCTAACAGCTACTGTGGCTGGAAATGCCATCTTCCATCTCCAGCTGGCTTGAAGGCTGCATACTTTCTTCCAAATTAAGATTCTGCCACAGTGATGTACACATTTGTCATATCCAGCTGGACTACTATAATGCGTTCTAGCTGGTTCTCAATACACAAAATAACATAAACGTTACAGACAACAGTGTAAAGTAATTTACTTGTTGGGAAAACTGGCCATCAAAATTAAATGCATGCTTGGGTCTCTGGACAGACTCTACAGGTGTCAAGTCTACAAAAGACCATTAACTTTAGTCACCAAAGACCTAGTCACGTCATAGTCTATAGTCAATCAATCCAATGCCCAGAGTTTTGTAATGAAGATATAAACAATTGACAAATCAAAAAAAAAGGAAAGAAAAGGTCAAAATCAAATAGCATGGTATAGGCAAAGACTTTGACTTCTATTCATGGGTTTACGTGCCTAGATGCCTTTCAAAACAAGGTTTTTGACTTACAACCCTGAATAAGTCAGATTCGAATAGGTCAGCATTTATATACTGCACTGTATGTCTTCACTCATTGAAAAACAGTGAATATTACATTGTGTAAAGTACCCTGTAGAATTCACTCTGTTGAGATGTCACCTTAAAAAAATCTACTATTTCTTCACTAATATGAAAAACTGCAAGTAGCAATATATTTGTTCAATGAATTATCTCTAAACTTTGACTCCTAGAGAATGTTAAACCTATGATTAATGAACAAAAAAAGTATATGTGTGTGTGCGCATGTGGGTGTATGTGGGTTATATTTAATTTCCCCATTTGAACCAAGACTAAATGGCATAATGTATAATATAGGGCATATATTGGAAAAAGTTTTCTCTAAAGAGCCAAATAATAAATATTTTAGTCTTTTCAGGCCATGTGGTCTCTGTCCCAACTGCTACTGGAGGAAAAAAGCAGCCATAGACAATACGAAAACAAATGAGCATGACTGTGTTTTAATAAAACTTTCTTCATGAATATTGAAAACTGAAAATCTGAAGGCCATTCTTAGCTTGTGGGCCTGAAAAAACCAATAGCAGGATGGGTCTAGCCTGTGGGCTAGGCAGTTTGCTGACCCCTGTTCTACGGAACAACATTAAATAAGATATAAAATTCAACACCATCAGCCTAAATTCTTAGCTCTGCCACTGCTCTTCCTCGGAGAACTTGAGCAATTATTTAGCTCGCCTAAAATGGAGTTAATAACACTAGAACCCTCCGTGGGTTATTTCGAACTTGAACTGTGATAATATGTTTTTCATATGATACTAATTGCACATAGTAAGTGTTCAATAAACATTACCTATATACTAGTATTCTAAAGTTAACTCCTCTTTAGTTTATTTCAATGACAATATTAGAAAATAGCCCTTTTGTGTTTAATTTTTCAAAATTATGTTTTTAAGTGCCTACACATTCTCTTCTCAAAGGAGGGAACCAGATTGCCCAAAGATGTCAAAGAACATTTGGAAAGGGGCAAATGTACAAGCAACCCCGCAAAATCTGCCTAAAAGCCCAGCTCCATCTGAACTGACACCTACCCGATTTCTGTCTTCAACTGTCAACAGTTCCTCCTCCACGCACTTATCCAAGACATCTCTAACCAGAAGCGAGTCTACCAGAGTGGGCTGAAGGAGGTTCAGTAGTTGGAGACATTCATCATGTGCGTTCTCAAATGACGGAGAGGGCAAGTCAGTGAGCTCCGGGTTCATGTAGCGGGCGGCTAGAGTGCTGCCCCCTCTCTGCAGGGCCTCCACAAATTCTCGAGCCCAGCCGGGGGGCCAGACCCCCTTCTCCAAGGTGCTCAGAAGCTGTTCCACTGCGTGCATGTTCCCGGCCGTGACAGCCGTCCTCTGAATCTGCTCCTTGTCCTCTGCAGTCAGGAAGCTCAGGTAGTCCAGTACAGGCTCCACCTGGATGTACATTTTCACTCTGGCCCTGAAGCACGAGATGAGGTAGCGGAAACTCTTGTCTGCGGAATACCCATTCGACATGTTTGCTTCTCAGGGGAGGGAGAGGATTCTCCCCAGTAGAAGGTGGCTGTTCTCTGCTCTTCTGGTGAGCTGTGTGTGCCGCCGCAGCCCGCTGCCTCGGAGAAGCGGGGTCTGCAGCGCTGTGCCTGACACTGACAATGAAGAGGCTGGACGCAGGGACCCCCGGTGGGCGCGGGAGGCGCAGGCGCACCTGGGCAGGTGGGCGGGCGGCGCGGGGCCTGGGGACGCGCACGGCAGGTGCGGGCTGGCTGCGCAGCCCCTCGGACTCTGCGGTGCGCTCCTCCCGGGCCGGGGCCTGGCGACGCAGCCGCACTTCTGGCGCGAGCCTTCCTCCTCCAGGCGGTTCTTGTAGTTTGCCTGACTGGTTTCTGTTTCGATTTTCTCCTCAGGACGTCCCAAACTTAACCGCTTGGCGGGGAGTGAGTTTCTTCGGGGAGGAGCTGCTGGCAAGGCGGCCTTTGGTCAAAGACACTATGGAAGATAGAAAAGGAAAGCAGATTCTCTCCCTCTGCTCTAGCAGTGCTCCTCCTGCCAGTGTTTTGTCTTCCCGGCGGGGTTTTCCCTCAACAATCAGATGTCTTGTCAGCTAAAATGTGGAGGGCATGAAAGCATGTGGTTCGGGACTTTCCACCCGAAAAGTAAACAGAAACTCTCGCAGAGCCTGTTGTGAACAGGAAGGAGTTCCTCTCGGCTGGTGGATGCAGGTAGGTCTGGCCCAGACACAGTCGTGACACCGCAAGGAAAAAGTGAAGAGATGAAGTTAAGAAGACATCTTCCCAGAAAGGTGGTACCCCAGAACCCCAGGAGGAAGTCCCTCTGTGCCCTTCCTAAAATAGACCTGACCTCCTGTGGGTTCCCCAAACTAACCGGTTCCCCCGCGGGAGTTTGAGAATGGATATGAAAAAGTGAGTCACGACAAACAGCTCACTTTATTGCCTCATGCCTAGATTGCCAGTATGTATACAGCTTTGACCAAGGCTTGGTGACAGATGCAGAGGGACTTTAACCACCAACTCAGCTTAGAAGGAAGCCAAGACTGAAGGTTTCTTAGTTCCCAGCATGTAAGTTCCCCATATTCTTTAATATACGACTTTCCTTTAATAAAACAAAACAAAACAAAAAAATCCCCAACAACTTATTTTTGATATAGCTGCCATTCTTTTCTTGGATTCAATACAGCAAGTTTTGGCTGAAGCAGCTAGGAACTTAATTAGCAACTAATGTACCAACTTGTAGTAAACATCAACATTTGTCTATGTCATGAAAGAAAAAAAATAAAACACCCACACTGAAAAATGGCAGCTTCATTTTAGTACAGAAGCCACAAAAATGTGAGTCCTGGAGGGGGCTGATCACTAAGGAGTATTTCTGCAGCTGTGGGTAAGGGTGGGTCACAGTATAGATGCATCATAATTAGAACCTCATGGTCCAGAATTGTGTGAAGGATAGATGGGTCATGTAGGCTATCAAAAAGATATATTTAGGAAAACAATCTGTTAGCAAAGCACGTTCAGTGAAGTCTTATTAGGCCGGGGAAGCCTGCTAGTGGTTTGGACTGCATAAGAGAAGTAGTCTTTGTGAATATTTACTGGGGGCATACAAAATATCCAACACTTTAAAGCATGTTGTCTTATTTCCTTCTCTAATTATGTTATGTAGTTAAGCTTTTTTCTCCCCTAAAGGATTTTAAGCTGTTTTAAAAAGGGACATATTCACATGGTAACCAATACAATACTCTACAACTCTTTTGAATTGCTAAATCACAAAGAGTTAAACTAAGATTTTTAAAAAAATAATGATGCATTGTCAACTACAAAGTATTTTCATTATTCATGCACTAGATTACATAAATTGTATTTAAAAATCTTATTTAATTCATCTGATTTTTTATTTTTTAGTTTTTGTTGTATTTTATGATATATTATTATAGTTGTACATGTAAAGATTTCTAAATAAATACCTACACAGTTATTTGGGTCCATGTTCAAATGTTTTTAATGATAGCAATCAAAAAAATCTGATTTTTAGTATTAAGGCAATGCCACAGGAGCTCAAGGCATTTTGTTTGAATAGAAAAATAAAAGGATGACCCCCCCAAACCTAGAACACTAGTTTTCCAGTTGCTTTACATACCTGAATATACACAATGCGCTTGAAGAGTACCATCCGGTAGGAAGTGCCACAGCAACCCGTTCAGTTCTTTGGGGGGTGGCAAACTAATTCAACTGACAACCTAGAAAGTTGTTCTCAAGCCTATCTGCAGATTAGACTCACATGCAAAGATGCATAAAATTATCCACTACATCAGAATCTTCATGACTGGAACTTTAGTGTCAGTTATTTATCCTTTCAGTTCTACTTGTGATTCCACTCTCCAGCCAGAGGTGAGAACTAGAGATTAGGGTCTCTGCTAGCCTAGGGCCAACTGTGGATAATGTTGATTCTCATTTTTGGTGGTAGTTACATTCTATAAGGTTGTCATGAGCACTAAATTAGTGAATACTGAGCTATTGCTCTTAAGGGAGATATAGGGTTAGGTTCCTTCAAACCTCTGGTCACATTTTTATCAACTGATCTATACATAACCTTGTTTTTTGTATATTTCTGTTTAAAGACATTTTATTTAATATATATTGCTGATTCAATAACACTGAATTCACGATCAACAGCACCATAACTCATGCCTGAACAAAGCTTATCTAATACACTTATTTGCTGTGTAAGGCACATCACAGTCTTCCAGTGCTTTAGGGACATCAGACAACACTTCAGCACTATGCCTCAGAGCCATTTTCATCCACGCAGTGGACTCACCAACAGAAAGCAAAAAAATATGATACTAAATATACTACAAAAAGGACACTTGTTTATAAACAAGTATGAGACCTGAAACGAGAAGGCAAGAGCATTGCCTCGTTTGACCTCAGCTGGGAATGTGTGCATCAGGTGATTCAAATGTTTTGCTGCTCCGTACATGTCTGCAAATGACTGTGAAAGTGCTACAGGTATTGATTTTGAGGTTATAACAAATTTTAGTAAGTATGGAATCCATGAGTAATGAATATCAACTGTCCTATAGTCTGAATGTTTGTGTCCCCTCCAAAATTCTTATTGAAACCTAATCTCTAATACAACAGCGTTAAGAGGTGGAGCCTTTGGTGGGTAATTAGGGCCCTTATGAAAGGGTTTGAGGGAGTGAGTTCAGCCCGTTTTGCCCATCCATCCCTTCCACCACGTGAGGACACAGCATGCAAGGCACCATCTTGTTAGCAGAGATCAGAGCTATCACCAGACACTGAACTAGCCAGCGCCTTGATCTTGGACTTCCCATCTTTGAGAACTGTAAGGAAATAAATTTCTGTTGTTTATAAATAACCCAGTCTTGGGTATTTTGTTATAGCAGCACTAACAGACTAAAACAAACTCTGTATATAGTTTCTGGGCCTAACCAGGAGAATTTGGAAAACTAGATTGTGCTTTGTAGTTATTCAGAAATATCCTCAATCACTCATAATAATTCAATTTGGCTTAAACAATGATATAAATGGACACATATTTTCAGCAGTTTATTAAGGGACACAATGTAGATTTGAACATTTATCTGCCAAATCCATTGACCAAGGCATTGTCACATATTTGCTTAGAAAAAATAAAACCTTTTATTTATTATGTAAAATGCATAACTTCATGGCAGTAGCAACCTGGATACTTCAGAGAATAGATTTCTAGGTAATATTTGGAAAAAAATATTGAATATTTGAAAAAAATATGAATTCAACTGAAAAGGCCACTTAATGTCTATGAAAACTAGCAAGAAAGTAGCAAGTGCAAGAAGGAAATCTGAATCAGAATTACTCTGGAAAAATGTTTGCTTACCCCTTGGCAGTTCTGCAACCTATTGCTTCACAAAGAGAATGAGGGACAAAAGGAAGAACTCCTATATAATTCAAAAAGCTGTCTTGGTTACAGTAAGTAACTGGAGTTTCTTATACTTTTACCAACCATGAAGAGGGAAGTTAGAGATTATCAGGAAATCTAACTTCCACACAAAAATAATGCACAGCCACTTTTTTTTGGAAACATAATTTTTTATTGAAACATAATTGATTGTACATATCTGTGGGGTATATAGTAAAATATCAATACCAGAGTGCAATATATGATGCTCAAAACAGGATATTTAGTATATTCAACATTACACAAGATATTTTCTCTGGCCGTTTACAAATTTCTTGCTACCCCCACCCCCCTCTGGTGGCCACAGTTTTGTTTTCTCCTTTTGAAAGTTCAACAAATGACTGTGATTATTGTATCTTTCTTTCTTTTTAAATTTATTTCTTTATTTTTTTAGCCACCACTTATGAATGAGGACATGCAGTATTTCTCTTTCTGTGCCTGGCTTATTTCACTTAACATAATTTTCTCTAAGTTCGTCCATGTTGCTGTGAAAGGCAGAATTTCATTCTTTTTTACAGAAGAGTAGTATTCCATTATATATATATATATGTGTGTGTGTGTGTATATATATATACACACACATATATATATATATATACACACCACATTTTCCTTATCCATTTGTCTATCAATGGACGTTTAGGCTGGTTCCAACTCTTGACTTTGTAAATCGAGCTGCAATAAACATGGGAGTGCAGGTATTCTTTTTTTTTTTTTCTTTTTTATCTTCTTTACTGACCAGCAATGGGATCGCAACCCTCGGTGTTGCGCCCACACCGCGCTCAACCAGTGAGCGGGAACCGGTCTCCACATGGGATCCGAACCCTCGGTGGGAGCGCCGCCACGCTCCCAGGCAGTGCACTCTCCAGTGCGCCACCGGGCCGGCCTGCAGGTATTCTTTTGAAATAGTGATTTCCATTCCTTTGGGTATATACCCAGTAGTAGGAATGCTGGATCAAATGGCAGTTCTATCTGTAGTTGTTTGAGGAACCTCCATACTGTTTTCCGTAATGGCTGCACTAATTTTTTCATATGTCAGGCCA